AATATTATCTGTTATAAAGATGTACGTTTTATAAACAGTTTAACATAATAGTAATAACGAAGGAAGGATTAATCGACCGTCAGGATATCACCAATAAGTTGAAGATGAGGGATGCGGTCATCAGAAAAAGCAGATTTCGTAACTTACGCCAAGCTTTCACCACTTATTAAGCTCTTTATCAGTATTCTACTGGCAATTACAACGTTTATAATTAATAATAGCAACACGACAATTATCAGAAAACATTAGACAACTTACTCATCACAATATTACAAGTAAAATACTATAACGATAACCATAACAACCTACACTTATATATATGTATATATAAAAACATGTAGAACGACTGTAAATAATAACAAGAACTAACAATATTGACAATTGATAAATCAACAAACACAAAGAAAGAAAACTATATCTTAAAAGTAATTTATAGACAGAAATAACCAACTTTTATTAAAAAAATTCTCCGTAAAGAAGAGAAAAAGAAAATGAAAAACATGATTTTCTTTATTATAATTAACCAAATGGAAGGTAACCAATTATGGCTACTGTCAATAATTATGTCAATATTGTCAGTTCTTATTACGGTTTTATATACAATTCATAATATATATGTACGGTTGTTATGGTTATCATTATTTTACTTATTGACGAGTAAGTTATCTAAGGTTTCCTGATAATTATTGTGTTGCTATTATTAATTATAAATGTTATAATTGCCTATAGTGCCCTGATGAACCTCAATAAAGATTGAAAGATTGACGTAAGTTACGAAATCTACTTTTTCTGACCGCATCCCTGATCTTCAACTTTTTGATAATAATGATTAAAAAAATATAAATAAATACGTATTAAGGTTTTTGAATATAATTAAAAACTGTACTTATATTACTATTATTTAATTTAGTATTCAATTCTTTCAATTTTACAAACATGTACATATTAAATTTATAAATTCCCGGATTCAGTAGTTTTATTCTATACTTTGCATATTCTCATATTTTGTGTATTAAATGCATATACTATTATGGCCATTCTTATCAAAAATTTACCCAATTGGAGTCTAGTGCAACTTGAACTTGATGTTAAACACGACCGACCAATTTATAACATCATCCAATAACATAAAAACTTTGTAAAAGTTATTTGGTTCTGGAAACATACTTTGCTAATATGAATCACAGAAAATGATACTTTCGCACTTTGTAAGTTTCGTTAATAACATAAATCAACGGCTAAGAATGTTGCCTTGTAGTGAACTGCAATGGATTTGGAACGGCAAGATAAATTAGCTAAGAAGCCGTTAAGTTCGGGCCCATTTAAGTAGGCTTGTTTCAAATAACTGTCGCGTTGTCTTTTTGACGTCGGGGTGAAATTCAGATTGCCCATTTGATAGACACGTCAAAGAACTAAAAGAAGAAATCGCTTGATCGCCGTATCTCAGCTGTCAATCGAGAAAAATTCTTTTGGGTCTTTGAAACTGTCCGAAATGTCCATAACACGGACACGATATTATCAACGCATAACGATCTCCATTTTTGGCGTTATTATCAAAATAATCGAAATACTTTGTGTTGAGAAAACTTGTCTTTGTTTTCTCTTACTCTGTACTAGTTTCCTATCTGTAACGTTTTAATATTATGAGAGATTTAAAAAAAATCTTGCGATAATAATACTGAAATTGGGTCCTTAAACACATGGGAAAAAAACTGTCAGATATTCTTTTCGCAGTTTTGAGTCCATTTATACCTTTTTTGTTCTTTTTTAAAATTTAATTTTTCATTTGATTCTTCCTTCAAAGAAGACCTGAACTTCTGACAGACGGCTATGCCATGCTGTAATGGTTATACGTTTACGATTTACGGCAAAATAGAAATTAGGGAATAAAGTTGACTAACTGGGAAAAAAACTTTATTGCATTTTTCGGTTATAATGTGTCGTTGCACTTTATTAACAGAAAATATTTTACCGAACAACCTGGAGGTACTTTGGGTTGAGAAAACATGTCTTTCTTTTCTTTTTGATTTTTGACTGGAGAAATAAAATTTTAATTCACTGCTTTGATCCAAGAGTACTTTTAATTTCTTTCATACCTTCAAAGAATTGTTTCATTTTAATTTAAATATTTTGTTTTGCCATTTGATATTCTATTCGCAGTTTTGACTCGATTTATATGTTTTTATTTTTATTCTCTTTTTTAATTTAATTTTTCATTTGATTTCTCATTCAATGAAGACCTGAACTTCTGACAGACGGCTATGCCATGCAGTAATGTTCATTTCACAAAAAGAGCATAATATTGTATAATCCATAGTGCTTAGTGGTCATAATGACCAAATTAATTATTCTTTTTATCTAAGGTTTAGTGTTTTTTAAATTTAGTGTCACGATCGGGATTCGAACCCACGACTGATATAAATGTTTTTTTTTCTTTTTTAACACCAACCCTTTATATGAGATTATAATACTAATTGGGGAGGAGTGTTTAAATTAAATACAAGAGGCATTAGCAGATATTACAATAAAAATAGCTATTGGTTTGGTCTGAGGCACGTACGGCAGGAACAGGTCGAGCATCCGGTTTTGTCGAGCGGCCACGTACTTCTTATTCTTCGGTGACAACACGTCGACGCGAATCGTGCGAACAGGCACTGTCAACGTTAACATTAGAATATGATTTTCTCTTTGGTTCCCGGTTTTACGATTTACGTCGAAATAGAAATTAGGGAAAGGAAGCTGGAACGTACGAACGGAGACTAGTGGCTTGTAGTTCCACTTTCATAGATATCGTCTCTCTAACTTACAATCATGTTCTTTTATTTTATTGGAGATGTAAAATAATAAGATATGTCATTTAAATTGGGCCTAAGTTGACTAACTGGGAAAAAAAATTTGTCGCATTTTTGGGTTGTACTTTATTACCAGAAAATATTTACTTAATACGACCTGTAGTAGGTGGTAAAGTACGAACACAACACACGATTCAACACAATACTTCTCTGGTTTCCTTTTCAAAGTTTCACCTTTGTATTTTCCTGGTTTATTTAATTAATATACTATTATGTAAGTAGTTTTTACACCTTATTATGTGTTCACTTTTTCTTTATATTTATATGATATCGGCCCAAATCTTTGACAGACAGTTGTAATCCATGCTTGTACATACTTAAATATTTTTGTCTGCAGTAGTGTTTGTTTATTTCGTTGCAAATAAAAAATATTTATCTTCAACATTTGTAGTTGCAACTAACGAATAACAGTAAAAACAACTTTATAAAAGATACTATTTAAAAACTGAAAATTGGAAATGCACTGAAAATTAAAATTTTAAAAGTTTAATGAAAAAATTGAGTTTTTCACTCATATCTCTCGAATTTCTTTTTTTCTAATTATCTCTTTTTACACAGGAATACTCTGGATCAAGGTATGGTCTTGATGAAAAATCAAATTCGCTTGGTACTGCCAAGCTTTCGACCTATTTTAAGGTCATTATCAGGGGGAAAAATCCTTAAATATGTCTACAGTTTGACTTAAGTAAGAATTTCACGGACATTTCAAATTTATTTGAAAACCGACTGTCACAGAATTGTCAAGGTCTGTGAAATCTATGAATGCATCTCTTCATAGTTAATACACGTTTAAAAAATGTTAAAATTTTATTTATTATTATTAATACATATTTTAGAATTCACCAATTATTTAGAATTCATTCAATTTGGCTGGTTTTGATTGAAATAATTTGGTTTTGGCATTGTTTTTACGTTGAGACATTCTCAGCTAATGCTCATAGTCCAACAATTTGGGATTACCTTACTTCTTAGATCGGCTGAAGATGTTTTTCTTTTGTTTTTGTGTTCAAATGTGTTTATTTAATCGTTCAATTTCATTTTTTAAATATTTGTGTCAAATCGCGGATGTACAGTTTTTCGTTTTTTTTTTCAACTAAAATTCAGCTAGTATTTTGAATAACTGTGTTATATTCTTCTCCTGAGTTCATTAAGTAAAAATAATTAATAACAGTATAATTTAACATTTCCACGCAAGCATGCATTTGTGCAATGAACAGGCTCAAAAAAATGTAAATTACTGATTGATCCCCGACGTACAAAAATCCTAGCAAGTATTTTTCTCTTTTTTTTTTCTCAATACGATACTAAATAAGATTAGATAACTTCTGTTATGAGACTGATTTACAAAACATCGAGTCTTATTTTTCAAAAGAAATATCTTTTAAAATTGGTAAAAACTATTCGATGATTGTCAGTAAATATGGAACATTTCATATTAATAAAATCTGTTTTATTAATTATTATTCTTGTTAAACCGTTTCGGTTATGAAATAAAATGCCGTGATTTTTATACATTTTTGCAATTCAACTGGAAAAATATTTTTAAAAAAAGATACAATATGCATGCTTCTCCAGTACGTCCAGTTCATTTGTTACTTTATCGTCTGTAATTTGTGTTTAAACAAGTTAGCTTAATTGTTTATGAAATATAACATAAATATTCAAATCGTGTAGTACAAAGAGTTTATTTAAGAGTGGTTTTAACAATTTGTTTGTAACATATTTTTATAATTGTAATGTAATTTTTAATTGACAATTTATATTTATCAATATTAAGCTGTTTACATTAACATGCAAGTTCACTATTTTATTACATTCATAGCGGAAAATTTATGTTTAAATGTATGAAAAAAAAGAAAACTGTTTTAATGTATATGGTTAGTGGTATTATTAACTTTGATTGGAATTAGCGGTTTAAGGAAAAATTATGTCAATATGGATTGAAATGGTGAAATTATACTTTAATGACTGCAAAACTATTTAAGGCAAATTAATTTAAGTCTATATGTTTTTCTTTATTATAAAATTAAAAACCGTTTTATTTTATTAATCTTAACTTACGTATTTATCTAATGAAGTTGCATTTAACATTCCCTGATAATTTTTTCAGTACGCGATTTAAATAAATTAAAAAGAAAAAGGCAGTACCTTGTTATCGGAATCCTAACGTGGTTAAATCCGTGCAGCAATGAGGACACTTGACACATCACAATCAGCGAAGTGCAGTCCGATACTGAAACGAAGCGGGTCTTGACGAACCGCAGGACTCCACTACCCACGGGTACCAACGCAAAACGAACAGTTGCCCTCCTTTTTTCCCGTTTTGCCCCCTACTGTAAGTCCCCTCCTTGTGGAATCGAGGTCTTGGATTTAAGTTAGGTAAATCACCAGAAAAACAATCGTTAAAAGTCTACAATGATGATTCGAATCGATTGACTTAAAAGTTACTCAATAATGTAAAGAAGAAGAAGCCTTTTGAGAAAATAAATTATTTATACAGATCGTAATAAAAAAGAAAGGATTTTACACCAAATTCGTCCTTTCACCATCATATTTATTTTTAAAACATAGGAACAGCTTAACAGTGTGTTCTAAGTTTGATTATTTATCTGTATAAAATATACAAATTCTCTTTGTGTCAAATAGCCAAATTTGACTATTATTTGATGCTATTAAACTATCAGTTTTATATTTAAATGCATTCTATCTCAGAAATTGTTAGTTGGTATTTACAACTATGACTTAATATAACAATAAAATGCATGTGTTCAGAAAACTCCAGAGGTGTCTTCAAAATTACTATTAATTGTATGTAAGAAGAGTACTCTTTCTTTACAAATAATAGCTTTAAGAACATGTAAGCGAATTTATTTATTTTTACTGGAATTGTTTCAGCATGTTTAAATTGATCAGAAATATGCTAAAAGATGCAAAAAATAATACATTTGTGATTATCTCAAATTTTCAACATTATGTCTTATTCCTATCAATTAATCAATGTTTTTATGAAAGGTTTTGATTGAAATGAAAAAGCTAGTGTCACGAGTGGGATTCGAACCCACAACCTTCGGCTCAATACGCTGCTGTTCTAGAGCCGGTATTGAGCCGAAGGTCGTTTATTCGAATCCCGCTCGTGACCCTAGCATTTTCATTTCAACCAAAACCTTAAATAAAAAGATTAATTAATTGAAAGAAATAATTTGGTCAATAGACGACTAAATATAATGGATTATGTCTTATTATTGCAAGTCTTCCAAATCAACAACTGAATTGTTTAAACTTACAAGAATCTACTGCGTTGAATAGATGTTTCTAATATGCAGGGTGTCCCCTAATTTTGATCAATCTTTATTTATTTATTTTCGTTATGAAGTTTAGTTATTAGATCAGTTCCAGAAATAAATTGTCAGTTAATTGTTTAAAAAAATATATACCCTATGTAACGTTTTTTAAATGATACGCATTCAAATCTAGAATTTTTAAGAATTTTTTGCGTTGGATATGTTAATTTTTATAGAAGTTACCGAAATGAGATTTTTACTAGGTATTAACATTTTCACGTCGACCAGTACTACTCCTACCAGTACTACTACTACTCCAGTAATCTTGACTTGCCTATTTAGTAATGAAGACAATTTTCTGGAAAAAAATATTGGATGTGGATCGACCTCGGACCAACGCGAAAAATTCTTAAAAATGATCTAGTTTTGAAATCCTAAATAAAAAAAGTTAGATACGGCATATTTCATATCAAAAAACAATTAACCAACCGATGAAACAACTGAATGGTAGATGGTATTATTTGTTATTAAAAGAAGATTGTTCAAAATCGGACCAAAATTAAGGAAGTGGGGGGAGGACATCTTCCTTGGGCTCTCTGTATATAATGATTGTGCAATAGCTAAAATAAAAAAATACTATTTTTTAGATTGTTTCTTTTAGACAAACTTAAAATTAACCAATCAATATAAATATTACTTTTTTTAAATTTAATATTTTATTACAATCTGTAAGATTATTTAAACATGTGGTTCATGTGTCGTGAGGGGAATTAACAACCATCGTTATTTAAAAAAAAATTAAAAAAATAAAATAACAAAATGTATAGGACACAAAGAAAGGGTAGTTGGGATTATTCGAGATATATAAACGTAAAACTGATATTAAATTACCTTANCTCCCCCCCCAAAAAAACAACAAAAAACATAAAATAAAAAATAACAAAATGACCAGGATATAAAAAAGGGTAGATGGTACGTATATTTGTAATATATACGTTTAATTTATGCTAAATTAACTTATTGAATTTTCCATGATATGGTAGTATGCACGTTTTGTAAGTTGTTCTTAAAAAAAATTATATATATAAAAGTAAAATAAAATAAAAAATAACGAAATGAATTGGACACAAAGAAATGGTAGTTGGATTTATTCGTAATAAATACGTTAAATTTATATTAAATTAACTTATTGAATTTTGCAAAATATGGTAGTCGTACGTTATGCAAGCTGTTTTCTCTCTGCAAAAATAAAAATAAATAAATAAAATAAAATAAAAAAGAACAAAATGAACAGCACACGAAAAAGTATCGTTAGTATTATTCGTAATAAATACAGTAAATTTATATTAAATTACCTTGTTGAATTTTGCACGATATGATATGCTATCACATTTTGCAAATGGTCCTCCCAAATAAAAAAATTACGAAAAAAATAAAAATAACAAAAGGAACAAAGGTAAAACAAGTTAGTATTATTTATAAAAAATTCATTAAATTTATATTAAATTAACNCGGACCATGGACAATATGAACTTTTTTGTTCATTTTAGGGTGAAGAATCTACTGGAGAAGTTTGTAGCACGAGTAGCAATTCACCCTGTATATATATAAAATAACAAAATGAACAGGACACAAGAAAATGTAGTTGGTATTATTCGCAATATACAGGTAAAATCTATATTAAATTACCTTACTGAATTTCGCATGATATGGTGGTAGCGCGTTATGGAAAACGACTAGGCAGAATTGAAAGAAAACAAGGAAGGAAGAAAAACGAAATTATTGGGTCGAATTAGTGAGACAAGGGTGTTTTTAAAACGGTTCCGTTGATTGTTGGCATCAATGCTTCCGTCGTTGACAAGTAAATCGGTCCCGATACCTCACATTTTTAAATGAACCACTATAAAAACGTTTTCTCACCGATTTTTAAAACATATTTCGCCATTTGGGCCTGGCCGGCGATAAGCCACCATCGGTGAAATTTTCCGTCGGATATAATGTTTTCATTTTATAGAACAGAAAGATAAGATGATCGCCATTCTGAGGACATCTCGATTGTTGCGTCAAATAAACAAGGCTAGTCTGTATCGGTAAGAAACGATAAATAATTTTATATCATTGTTGTTTTCATTACATAATTAAAATTGCTATCGTCTATGAACTTCTGTCTGCCAACGTGACAATGATGATTTCGTTATTTTTTTTATTAACGATTATTTCACTAGGTTTAATTTGCGAAAAAAATAACCTCAATGAAAACTAATGACAACTGTATTTACGGATCATGCCCGGATTTTACAGTTTTTTTAAACTGCTATTTTAATATATATCTCAACAGATTGATTAACTGGGCCAACACTAACATCATTTTGATGGAGCATCAAGTGGGATTTATGAAATTACTTCAATGAGTCCCACTTGATTGAACTGTAGGACTTCTACTCGATATGAGAATTATAATAGAGTATGGCAAGGAATCTTTCGGTCTTAATGAATGTTTAGCTGTACCCCACATTTCCAGTCCGGAAGTGCATACCGCCTTAACTATGGTGTTTTTTTTAGCCTTTTATTTTGTGAAGTAAATTAGAACGTTTGTCAAGAAGTCGTGTTCTATATCGCGTCATAACCTCTTGACGTTTCAGACGTGTGTGAGGATTCCACGTCAGGCGTTTGTCGATGTGCAGTCCGAGGTACCGTACCTTGTCCGCAGTTGGGAGGGAAATATTATTTAATAAAACGGGGGAGATATTTTTACGGCGAGTGAAGGTGATTCGGGTGGATTTGTCAGTGTTAAATTTTATCCTCGTCTTTTTACAACAAAGCTCCAGTTGTATGAGGACATTGTTGACACATGAGGTGTTGTTGGGGGTTTCAAGTGGAAATGACAAGGTTGCTTAATAACAAATTAAACGGTATTTATCAATATATTACCACAAGTACATGGCACTGCCGGTAATATTCAGTCATCAAATGATCTAATTCGGCACTTAACTTTGTATGATTGAAATGAACAAGCCATCAATCCAGTATTGCTATCTGCTAATAAATCATGCTATAAATATAATTTTACATAACTTCTTATCAGATATGCTAGAGAGAATTGCTGTATCGTCTGCAAATGTGAAGGTTTAGGGATATGATGGCAGAGGGGGAATGACCTTCGATGACTTGGAAGAATCGGTCAGTGAAGTAATTGTGCAGTACGAGATAGTAAGTGGATGGAAGGATGCCCTTGATCATGAACAGCAGGCCCGGGTGCCAAACTCGATCAGCTTGGCTTACGTCAAGAAAGGCCCCAGAACAGTACTGTCCCATCTACCACGCGGTGACGCCTGTTGGACAGTTGAGTAAAGGTTGCGCAAACCAAATTGGTGGTCTGGAGAATTTATAATCGGAAGAATTCTTTTCAATAGGGGTTTTTCTCCCGGGTAGTGTGAATACTATCAGACTATCATGAATTATCTTGTTTTGATGTGTGTTTGTTATTTTTGTCTTCTTATCCACAATTGATGGGCTCTGAGTTGCAGTGAGGCTAAGAATAAGATAAAGAAAAAAGAGAATCGGCTACCATATTATTTATCTCTTATCATAGTTCTTCATAACTTGATTGGAAAAAGAAGGTCAATAAATTAGAGTAGGATTAAAACGCAAGAAAGGCTGGAAAATAATAGCAAAAATAGGTTTCCCTGCGTGATGTCCATAGATGGATTTATTTGCGATTCACGTCCCACGTCTGGATTATCTCCTATACAAACTAATTTGGTGACAAAATACTAATCCTTAACTGCAGATGTTGAGAAAAATAACCGCCATGTCCCTTCTAAATTGTTAATTTGTTCAAAAGCATATTATTAAATGTCGGTGAGATTTTAACAAACTAGGACTGTGCCTTTGCCTTACCTGTGTTGAAAATTCAAAACGCCAAACGTAAGAGGCAGTCTAGTGAATATCGTAAAGAAGGAAAGCAGG